TTAGACACATTAATTAGGCGGTAATTTTACTATAGAGTATCGATAAAGAAATTTCTTTTGAGTTAGGGAGGGGGGGGGGGTGGTGGGCTCAGACGTTCTTACGCGGGGGGTGGGGCTTCGCCCCTACCTGAAGAATTATATGCAAGAAACTCTTCACGCAAACCATTTAGATTAGACAAAATTTCCTTTTTTTCAATGTTTACGCGAGAATCAATGACGTCATATTACTGTGTGCACTCTCTGGTTTGAGATTATGTTCTACTCTATGCTAAATGTGTCAACGTCATATTTCGTTTTTCGAATTACTGTGCATGTTTTTATTTTGCTTGTGTTTTCTCTAGAGCGTTCTTGTCAGACAGAGCGTTCTTGTCAGACAGACAGCGAAACTATTATTATAGATTGTTACAAAGAAATTTAGTATTAATACCAATTTTGTTGATTTTTAAAATTGTTTGTAATTAATAATTAAAATAGGGGTAAAGGTTGTGGTTGCTAAACCAAAAAGTGGTGAGTTCGAGCCTTGGGCAGATGAGGCTTGATAGCTAGGGGCAGCTACTCTTTTAGGAGAGACAACTCCAAAATCAAACAACTTTCAGATTTGAGAATCAAATTTTTTTTTACTTCCAGGATTTGCAAGATTTGAGATTTAAAAATTTCCAGGTGTGCAGTTTAAACCCTACCATCTAAACAAAGTATTAGCAACATAAACAGTTGTTTTGTATGGTGGCTTACATACATGGGGGGGGGGGGGGGGGGGGGGGTTCTAGAATAACACTTTAGGATGGGACTAAAAAATGTAAATAAATTGTATTGTATGCACAATCCTTTAAATATTAATTTTTATTTGAAGCTTGTTAGAAAGAATATATATCAGTTTTAAAGTAATGTATATTGAACAAGATATAAATCAAATATCTCAAAAAAGAAAAAAGGAAACAATAGTCCATTTTATTTTGAAATTCAGTCGGAAATTAAGTTTCAGGGTTTTTAAAAATTTCAAATTTTAGTTTCAGTATTGGTAAAATCAGCCTACTGATACCATGAACCTGAATCCTAATACTTTTTCTTATGAAACTACGTCAACCTTTTTCATTTCCAGTTAGTTTAATACATTAGAAAAATGAATATGTTGAAATGATTTCCTAAAGGTAGTGCTCAGAGAAACCTGTTTGGAGCTGGAGATGATAATTGGCAAAATAGAGGTGGTCAGACTAATCCACGTGTGACTTTTCAAGATCAAGGAAACAATCCTTATAAATGGTCTTCACATCAAGGATTAGGGAATAAGAGCAGAGTGGATAACCTACAAACTCCATCTATTGATGTTATGTAAGTTAATTTGTCAAAGTCCCAATTATACAAAAATAAATAAATTAAATGTAAACTACTTTGTAACTATAAAATATAAAAAAAAAACTGCCTTTAAAAATTATCTCTAACTGTTAATGCCTTGCAACAAATATATTTTAGGTTGTTGCTTTTAACTGTGGTGATATAAGGGTAATTTTTTTTTTCTTTTTTTTTTTTTTGCAGAAGTAATTTACCTAAAGAAATGGAAACATGGGAGAAATCTAAAATGTGGCAATTTTCCTGCTTTTCTTTAGAAAATAGTACACCTTGTCTACCAGGTAATGCTTTTCTTTAAATATTTCTTAATTATTTCTTAGTTTATTAATTTATTGTCGTATCCTCTCTGTTTTGGGAAGCTTTCTTTAGTTGAGCCATGTTAACCATTGCTTCTCCTTAAACAATCCTCTAGAATTGTTTAAATTGGCCCATTTGTCTTTTCCTTGAGGGTTCCAGTCCATAGTTTGCCTTGTTTACACCTTCTTTTCCTAGAGCATGCCCTATCCATATCTATTTGCATGCTTCTTTATCTCTGTCTATCAGCTGTTGTTTTCTTATTTGCCACATAACATCATTGGGCATTTTTCTGGCCATTTTATCTTTAGGATTTGTTGTACGTGTCTATTAGTGAAGGACTGTAGACTGTTCTTGTTTAATTTTATAACCCTCTGTAATGATGCTAGTTCAGGGTAGATGGTAGAAACAGACTATAGCTTAGTTAGTTAAACAGACCAATGGATATACAGGAGCTGACCGGTCATGTGGGACGGTCAGCTGACCACTGAAGCGTGGGTCAATAGTTAGTTCAGCGGCAGACATTGATAGGTAGCTATAGAGAATGGTCAGAGATATGTAGAACGAGGTAGAGAATTAGGGGTAGGTAGTGTGTTAGAGATGGTCATGGAAGTGTGCAGTTAGATAGCAGTTGTAGTTAGATAGTGTTAGCAGATAGTATATAGTTTAGACTAGTTAGGTAGAAGTAGGAAGTTGATTTGTAGAAATAAAGAATTATAGAACATCTTGAATTGGACTTGTGTGCGGTGCTTTCACAAAGCTATAACCAGGCGGGTTTCATCATCATTCACCCCACCCTCACACCCTCCATGTCTCTGAGCCATTTTTATAACAGACTGCTTTGACATTTGTGTTGGAGATTTTTATCTTGCTCCTGAGTGACAGGGCTTTGCGATTCCATGTGGGGAGTGGGCATATCTGACCTTGTTGATAATGGCTTTTGTCTTCTTCTGCTCTTTTATCTTTGTTGATATGTGAATTTGTCAGTCGTATGACTTCTGTATTAGCTTTATGGGCAGGTCCTGGTTGCTATTGATTCTAACGACCTTTATTTCTTTTCATTTTGGGACCTTCTGCAGGGTGTTACTCAGATAGTTGATATGGTTTGGTTTAAGCATATTTTAGCATAAATGTGAGATAGTAGGTTTAGCCTGATGTGCCAGATTGTTTCTACTCCATCTCAACTTTTCTGTTGGCTGTTCTTTGGTTTGGTTTTAGTTTATTATTGTGATTATTATTTTTTTTTTTTTGCTGTGCCATATATAATTATAGCTAGATTTATTAGACAGAATGGGAAACTGTCTTTATAATCTAGATCATATCTTTTAATCCAGATTTGTATGACATATCATTTGAAGAACTACGTACTGATGCTTATCATGCTATAAAGAATGGAAACATACAGTCCTATGTAAGTGTAAAGTAACTCAAATTTCAAAAATACATGTACCTTCTTACAAATAAACTCCAGAGAGAACTTACTTTTATTTATTTACCCTTATCTACCTGGATCTATATATTTCTACATTTGTTTATTTTATTCTTATAGCTAGTATACTTTTTTAACTGCAAGTTTTAAAGTAAAACAACATTAAAAAAGGAGTGAAAATTAGGAAGGGTGAGGTACTATATCAACATTTATATATTCTAATATATTGAGGCAAACTACCTGTACAAACATAATTATTTAAGCATTAGGCCTATAATTCTCAATATAAAAATTCTTTTGTCAGAGCTTTCCCCTCCCTCGGGTCTCCTGCCACTCCCTTCCTATCCTTTCAGCCTCCTCCAGCACGCAAGACTTCCTGGGTCAGGAGCTCTTGTAAACCTGATGGAATTTTTTTAAGTTGGACATTTTTCTGTAACAATTTATTATCTCCTAAAAGTACAAATATTGTCCTGAAATTGAAACAATCCCAATTTTTGAAGTGGGAAAACATTTTGATTTGTTATTGGGGAAATAGGGACATACATTTTAGGATGGGCAACTGACGCGCTATCTAGCTTCCTTTAAGCCTTTATAAGCTGATATGCTAGCCTAGTATTGATCAATATACATATTATATCGTTTGTTTTATAGATACTTTTATTTTCATAGCAGATATTTAAAAAACGATTGTAAAAATATAAGTTGTTTTGAAAAACATGCCTCATAACTTTTAGTTTCATTTTCTACAATCCTTCATCTCTTTATTTGTGGTATTTAGTTTGTCCCTTAAAATCATAATAAAATGAAAGGCTTGGAATGCTAATAAATGCCTTTATAGGGCTCATTTAATATTTATTTATTTGTACCAAGAATATGTGTATTAGTATGCCTAGTGAAAACAAGAAACTCAGATTTACAAATAAAAAACATGGTTTCTTGCTACATTGTGTCGCACACTTTTGACATCACAAATATCAAATGCTCAACTCAAATATGTATAATATACAAGTACAATATAATATTATAATATAGAAATAAAAACGTATAACAGTCAGAGCCTGTATATAGGATCAGCATGTATTGGTGGACTTGATTTGTGACATGTGTCTGTCATCATGTCAAGGGTTCCACCACATCTTGCTCTGGCACAGTTTATTACTATGTCATACTGTTGGGCTGTCAGATTTGAACTGTCACTGGTTCTATCGTCCACACTGATAAAATCCTATCACAAAACGGGTGTATATCTTGACCTTCACCGAATTCCTGAAACTGACTCAACAAACCCCTAGTTAAGAAGCACTATTCTTGGTTAAGAATAAATAATGTACAAATAATTCAAAGAATAAATAACTACAAGGTATTGTTATTATTAATTTCACTCACAGTGGAATTAATTTCTGAAGAATAACCACTATGTTTTGACAGGTAGAAAAGATAAAAAAGCTGGAGGATGAGTTTGCAGGCAAAAGAAGACATCTAAAGCACATGACAATGGAGACTAAACAAAAACTGGTAATAATATTAAACATCTATCCAGTAAAATATGTTTTGATATTGTTCATTTTTTATCTTTATGTTTTTTATTTTGTATGATGACTAAAAGTAAAGGAGAATCTTAGTTCTAAGTAGTAAAATGGATGTGTGCTTCAAATTTTACTCAAGAACCAGTGAGAAATACAAGGTTTAAAACAAATAGCAAAACTTATTTAGTTCATTCAAAACAAAAGTTTTCCATCTTATTATTTCTACTAAATAATTTTGTTATAGTACATGTTCTTGGAGTCCATCCATATACATTTTTTATAAGAGAAAAACATGGTATACACAGACCAAATATAGTCAGAGTAAGCATAGCTGAATGTCTATTATACAACTATTGGAACACTACCCACACAAACAAAATACAAGTGTGCATGAGCTTCTTCTATTTTATTAAAGACATCCCTCACTTGTTCAGCATATTTTGTTGTACTTCTAAAAATAAAAATGTTAAAGAACATTATTTTTTTTTAGAATTTAGTTTCTAAGACATTGGGCGGTATGACCTTTTAACTTTGTTTTATGGGTGTTGTCCATCTTTATGTTATGAAAGTCCTGGTTGAGAATGAACATCAGTGAAAGTAGCATTTCTGGACAACCCCAAATGTTCACATCTTTTTATTTAGTTATTTGTACATAGTATTTTTGTGATAGCATTAGCAGCTGCACATTCTGCAATAATAAATAATAATAAACATAATTCACTGGAAAAGCTGGTTTGCCTTACCTTTGGCATTGTATTCTCTTCTTGGCATATGCTTTGATCATCTGCCTGCGATCTCCACACAAAAAATGCACAGGCCAAAAATTCATGGAAATATGGGCCATCTTACTTGTCTGTTCTTTGATCACACCCTGATCTGAAATGTCCTGGAACTATATTCCTGGTCACCACCATGTTTTGAAGAGCCTTACTAAGCTACTAAACCAAGTAACTACATCACATGCCCAGTAAAATATCCCAAATTTCTATAACTGGGCTAGTTGACCATTAGTTCTGCTTTTGTTCTCTTTCATTGAGTTGCAAGTGGTTTAGTATGTTTATATTTTTATTTAGCAGGTTAATTGATCATGTACTCATGTGCAGTTTATTTACTTTTTCTTTGTTACCTAGTGTTTTCTTCAAAGGATCCGTAACCAATTATATTTTAGTCAGAAAGAAAGAAAAGTTGTTTTGAATAAATGAATAGGAGTAAAACTTGAAAAAGATTCAGTTTGCCATATTCTTATTTTAATGACAGTATAAATGTTTTATTTAAATCTTGTCTTTATTCTCAATTCAGATAACATTTCTGGATGACGTAAGACGTGGCATTACACACAAAATGTATGTATTTACAAAGTTACATGTTTAATAATTTTAAAAAAAAATTATGAATATTATTGTTATAATGACAGTTGATACGTTCAACACATTTTACTAACTTTTCTATATCCACTTTTGTGGATAAATAAAAATATTTCCCATTTTAGAAAAGATATCTTCATTGTGGTGTAGCTAATCAGTTTTGTTTTTATTTCCAACTAAAAAGTTCATAATACTATCCTATTAATACTATACTATATAGTTGAAAAGCTATTTCTTTTCTATTCTTGTTATGTAAGCATTTTCCAATAAATCATTAACTATAAGCTATTAACAATTTTCTAGTTTACTTTACTTCTAACACAATAGTAAAGTTTCTGTTATGATCCCAATTAAAAAAAATATTCTAATGTAAAAAGCTGACCTTAAATCAACCTTAATTGATTTGCCTTTATCCAGACACTGTTTCCACAATGCACAATTGAAAGCCCTAGTTTTTTTATTCAGTTATTATCACATAAAGAGAGGGACATGTCATTTTAGGAGTTCTGAGGGTACTAATAGAAACCTTTGTTTTTTATATAACTGCAACCCAGTTATTTTACTTTCATACAGTTCTGATCCAGTTCAAACCATATTTGGGCAGAGCAGAATAACAGATTCAAATAGCTCTGGGCAACTTGGAGGTACAAATAACAGCACAGGAGTATTTGGTGCATCAGTGTTTGGCTCAACCAACTCTGGGCCTGGTACTTTTGGAACATCGGCTGGTACTTTTGGAACATCGGCTGGTACTTTTGGAACATCGGCTGGTACTTTTGGAAGAACCAGCCAGCCAGCAGTCAGCACTCCTAGTACAAATACTTCTTTATTTGGAGGCAGTGATCCAAGCAATTCCTCTTTTAATAGTTTTGCTAGTTCTAATTCATTGCCAAGCTATTTTTCTAAGCAGATAACTGGAGTTAGTTCAGGTAGTCCAACCCATCAAGTTCATGATAATTCACAAAGTAACATCTTTGGAGGAAATCAAAGTGGATTATTTGGCAATGAAAGGAATTCTTCAAGCAACAATCCTATTGGATCTTTCTCTAACAGTCAAGTATCCTCACCAAGCAGTTGGTTAGGGAAACCCCAGCCAGGAGTGCCCTCTATCAACCTCCCTTCTGATCTCTTTGGAAAGAGTGCACAGTCTACACCTGTTTTTGGTTCAGCCTCAACCAATCAAGCCTCCGTTTTTAATACAAGCATATCACAAGTGCAGGCATCACAAGCAACCAATTTGTTTGGAAAACCATCCACACAAAATGTGTTTAACAATCCCATTCCAAGCATGGGAAAGCAAAATTATCAAGCTTCAATAAGCTCTAACACAAGCAGTAATACCTCAAAACTTTTTACACCTTTGACTGATTTGACGGATTTAGAAAAAGAAGCATTTAATGCCAAAGCTTTTCAGATTGGAAAAATACCATTGCGTCCTCCTCCTCAAGAATTACTTAATTTGTAATTATTTTCTTATTTGCTTGAAATAAAAGTTCTTAAATAGATATATACAGGACTCAATTTAATTCATTATCAATTTATTCTTCATTAAGGAGCTCTGCTTAATATAAAGTAACATAATAGGCATTATTCACTTATAGAAAATTTACATTGCAAATTATAATTGGTCCTAATAACTTCTTCAACATTATATTGTACTGTACATAATCCTCTGATCCCAAATTTCAGCAAAATGAATGTACTTTTGGAAATCATGGGATAGGGAAGTAAAGGACCAAAACATTATACTGTTTTTTTTAAACTCACATATAAATCTTTAAGAAGCTGACTGAGACATATGAAAGACTACAAGTTACAACTAGATACTGAAATGCAAATTGGTATCAATTTTGGTGTAATAAATGCACAGATAATACTTAAATGTACACTGGCATGCTTTATATTTACATTATTTCTCTTACAATTCTTACAAAATCAACATTAAAATTTTGCATTTGACCATGTACCATATTGTTAAACCAGTTGTATATTTCTCATTAATCAAATTAGAAATATTAGCACTGCCATTAACATGACTCATAAAATGTGCACCTCCAGATAGTAAAAAATCTGATTATTAGTGCATACATTTTGAAACTGATTACATTTTGTGCATACTGAAATTAAAAAAAAAAAAAAAAAATCTAAAATAAGGATATATACTTTTTTTTGCATATTATTAGCTTTAGATGCTACTAATAAAACTGATATTTTGAAAAAAAGGAATGTGACAAGGGAATGATCATTTAAAAAATATAAATTGGTGTTCTCTTATAGGAATATCATTTATGAAAAGATTTACTTTTTTTTTCCGTAGAAAAATCATGTGGCAGGAAGTAAAATGTTCATGATACAATAAAATACTGGAATAATGGGTTATCCAGCTCCTTTATACCAACACAAAATAATTCTTAATAAACATATCAAAAGTTTTATGTAGTTTATAATTAATTGATTTCTTAAACCAAATCTGTGGAGCTTTGAAAAATAATATCATTTGTAGAATGTTTGCTTAGGCAACAATAATAAATGTGTTTTTTTTTAAATTTATTTTAAAAAGGTATGCCTAATTAACAAGTAAATATTATATACAAAATAGATATTAACTAAATGATCATACAACAATTTTACATACACACTGAAATGAGTACAAAGGTAATTGGGAAACCTATAACCATGTATTCAAGGAGCTAAAACTGTCTTGTGATATTTCACCACAATCTGAATCACTTAGAGGTCATCCACTAGTTAACATTTTTTTCTGAAAATCTAGATCTAAAATGTGGGGGGAAAAGTCTAAGAGAATAATCAGCATTCTTTGCATTTTTATGTTTTTCTTTTCCCAAATTAACCAAAATATAGAAAAAAAATTCTATGGCAAGAAAAGCTTTCTTTTTAATCCATGTAGGAAAGATAAAATTGTATTGATATTTAACCTTTCCCTCAATGCAAAACCCCTTAACACATACAGCAGGTTTTCAGTTGATTAATTGATCATAAAACACAGACTTGAGTAAGAATCGATTTGAGATTTTTTTCCAGAGATATTTTTTAAATACAACTTCTTTCCACATTAAGCACATCAGGTTGCTACTAATAACTTAGAGCTAGAATTGTTTTTAAAAACTCACCCAGAAAGCATATAGATAAATATTTAAATAAAACTAAAATTCCTAGAACATCTCTGGCTAAAAAAATTAGAAAAATGTGCTAACACTTCTTTTGTCCTAAGGGTCACAATCTGAGTATTATAAAAGTAGTTATTAATTTTTTTTTACAGAAATAATTACAACATAGACAAAGAGGTGTAAAAATAATAGTTTATATTAAATTATGAAGGAATTGGTTCGTAAAATAAACAGATCAGAAAAAATGAGATTGTACTCCAGCAGTATATATCATTTGTGTATTATCTATGACATCAGACAATATTTATTGTACTTAAAAATTTATTTTTTAGAACACATTAATCTTATAGCTTTATAATTCCTTATTTCTAAAACTTAGCACCATTAAAATCTATTTGCATTTATTTGACATACCTTAGAGTTATAAGGTTCAATTTGCCAATATAAAATACATAACTTGGAACCTTGAAATTGTAATTTTTAATACATTTCTTGTTTGTTCATCAGCAATCTCATTTATACAAAAAAAATTCATGTTGATTTTATTTACAAAAACATGAAGCAGGTAACCAAATAAAGTTAACCGGCAAAAATACTTGGATAGACTCAGTATTTCCTTAAATGAGCAAATATATACACATTAAAAAAAACAAAAAAGAAAACAATCGTTAATGAAACTAATAATAAATTTGAAAGCTAGGATATGGGTGTGAATAACAAAGCAATAACAAAACAAAATGATTATTTATTTACATCACTGAAAAATGAGTATTAGAACAGTTTAATTCCTAGAATTATAAAATCAAGTTTCTGATTAGGTGAGTATTTTGCCAGTTTTATCAACTAGTTTTAAAATTCAATAATTAAGTTAAGACTAAATGCATTTCTGATTTACTAGGATATCTAGTTGCTGAAGAAATTCAGTTTTCAGATAAAGTTACAATGTGTAAAAATAAAAACAAGCTAAAGGTAATATTTTTGTTAAACTAAGCATCAGCTGATTTCTCTTTTGGAACAAAGCCACCACTTTTCTTGTTAGCACTAGACTCTGATCTACATCGTGGCCTCATTTCACCTTGTTCAAAGCCATCCTCTTCTTCAATCAAAATATTTTTCGCACTATCTGCTTTAACTTCCACCAAAACATCAGTTGGTTTAGAAGCTGTGCTGCTTGAAGTGCCACAGCTGTGCAGCATGGCTAAGGGACTTACAAAAAGACCAGCAGGACTGCCAGGTGAACTGCTGCCATCTCCTGTGGCTTTATTGATGCTAGATGTGTTAATGCTAATGTGGCGGCTTCGAAATGCTTTACTCAAGGTACGGCTGCTTCGATTTAATTTGTTGGGAACTGCTTGCATTGAACTAGGTTGTATCACATAGCTGCAGAATTAAGATCAACATATTTTTTACACAAACATTGATGTTTCTAGTATTAATCTAGATATATCCTATTCATTTTTTGTCTCGAAAAGCAAATAAAACAATGAAAATATTTTTCTCTGAGTCAGTTTTTTTTAGGAAGTTTTTGTTGTTCTCTGTCTACCATACATCTTCAAAGTAGTAACTCCAATTCAATCTTTTCAACTATTAAGTCAGCTAAGGGTTTGATTTAAAAAGTTTAAGCTGGGAGTAAACATAAAGATGATGAAAACTTACACCATATCACCACATTTGAGTCTCCTGGTTGGTGAAGGATTGACAATAACATAGGAAAGTGTCTTGGCTGGTTTCTGGATAGTATCTACAAAATAGGGTGATTAAGTTTATTTATACACAAGGAAAAAAGAAAGTTATAAAGATAATAGCAAAATTATTAAGCAATGTTATAGATTGCCTTGTAGCAACCCAATGAACAAAATGAGCATCATTAATTATAATTAATAAAATAGCTATGTTCAAAGAACAGTTCAGTACTCTATTTTATCTCCTATAAATTAGAGGCTATTTTGCAGATATCTATTTTTAGGAACTTGTGAATACAGTATCCCTGAGCTACAGATAAAAACTTACAAGGTCGACTTTTGATTGCTAGACCTAAACTCTCCATTCTAGCTTGAACCATTTCCTCAAGATGGCGATTACTGTTTTTATCTTTCTCAGAAAATACTGCACCAACAGACGTTCTAGATGATCTAAGATTCTTCTTTTGGTGGTCACCAAAATGAAATAAGTGACTTCGACCATGTCTTTTCTGCTTTGTGGTATTGTTATTTTCGGCCATTTCAGTTAACTGAAAATCACAATCATTGATGTAGCCTGTAATTTTTTTTTTCTCATGAAATTTAATGTACTGTTATGTGATATCTTAAGATTACTTTACAGATTAAATTATCAACTTTCAAGCTTTTTAAAATTTTGCACTACTATTATTTAATACTTAATTTCATATAATGTGAATCATTTCAAACTGTTTCACATAAACGTTGAATATTTTACAGTGTCACTCATCTGACAGGTTAAATTACCATTTGTAAATATTTAAATGTATGCCAACTACAGTGAGAATCAGAGGAATGAAATTAATTTATTCCAGCACATGACATGCCTGGGCATTTTTGTTAAATAAAACAGCACTTTTTGAAGTTATAGTTTGGTAATAAAAGATAACTAAGTTGTACCTATATCAGAAATAAAATAGTAATTCAAGCAGGGATTTTTTTTTAAAGCCCAAGAGTATGTTTGGAGAGCTAATACTACTAATAGGTGAATTTTTATAGTTAGCCAAACCTCAACAGGGGAAGATGGAGAAGTCTGCTTTTCAGTCCTATAAATGGCTATGGGGATTTCTCCTGTAGTAGAGCACAAACCCTGATACAAATCTCCATAAGTGGGAAATTGAGAGAGTGTAGCTCTACGAATTCTGACCTGTAATTATTTATAGATATTATGGTAATTTTTATATGTAAAGTAATAAATGATGCTCTGGTAAACAAAACAAATATGCCATAAGCAATAAAGAAATTTAAATAAAAAAACTATGAATTATATTAAATAGTATAACTTTAACCAGAACTGTTAATTCTAATTTATCTTACACTAGAGAGATGCCCAGAATTTTTCTCAGCATCAATACCAAGTAGAAGCCGAACAAAACTAATCAAATAGCCTTTAACAAAAGTCTGAAAATACAGAGATGTATTGAGTTATTTTTACATCAGTCAACTTAATCAGTGCATTCCTTTTTTAGATTTTTATTTCAAGACAAAATTATTAAGAATTATTTTAAACATATCATTTCAATTGTTGACTAATTTTTATATAAATCTACACAAAATTATATTTTTAACAAAAAAAAAGAAAAGTCACTGTTCTAATAAAAATGCAAAAATTGTAAAAAACCAGTTAGCATATTCTACCTTTACAAACATTAGTATTATTTTAAAACCGATTAAAACATTCCATAACTACTGTTATGTAAAAACATACCTGATACAAAAGCCTGTCTAGCATATGAGAGCTGAAAACTTTGCCTGCAGCAAATGGAAGTCTAAACATATATGGAAGATGTGAGGCTGCTTGCTCCTTCAATCTCTGTTATGTTATTTGTATTGGTAAAATAAAAACCAGTTATATTTTGTCTTTGACTTTCAAAATGTATATAAATACATCATCTTTAAAGAATCAAGTAAAAACCATATTAAAAATAAACAAAATAAATTGAAAATAAACCCAAACAAAAAGGACAATGCTTTTAAACAAATGTCACACAATCTAGAAAGAGCAATTTGAAATTATCTTTTAAAATAAAATTTGTAAATTTTACCTGTTCAAGTTTACGTATCTTTAGCATATAAGAATCTTTGGCTTTAAAGTGCATAAATCTCATGTTAGATGCTTCATTCACTTCTGTGATAATGTTCACATGAGGGAATAGCCTGTTGATTCATACTTCTTATTAAAGGTAACTGTTAAGTAATAATATAGTATAATGCACTTAAAGCCTTCAGATTAAGACAATATACCTGGATATTTTCTGTACTGTAACAATTGTCTCAGCATCACTTAAGTTTTCTTCTCCACCAGGATCAGCTTCCATGTGAGAAATTACTAGGTGCACAGCTTTATTCACACCAGCAACTAAAAGATCATCTAGGCTAAATAAAACATTTCATTCATCAATGGTCTGTGAACATGAATAAACAGCTTTTTCCTAACCCCTATGCTGTTGTAAATTACCAATATAGTACCTCTCTGTGATGTTAATTGTACACTAGAAAATTACACTATTTATTAAATATTAAATAATACCTTGTCAAAATTCCTTGCATCCAAAAAACTAGAGGGAAGTGAGCTATTGTTTCTAAAAAAAATCTGGATGGACTGCAAAATAAATAAGTTTTTTTATTTTCTTAGAAATTTCAGTCATGTTTTTTTTTTATAAAAAAAAGGGTGTTTTAAAAATTACTTACAGTTCTTCAAACATGAGAATAATAGGACTGAGTGACAGTTGACTTAGGTAGTTGGATCTTAAAGGAATAATGAAATTATACAGTCCAGGGCAGCACCGGCGAACTGACAGAATAACTAGCTGATTTTCCCAGCGCTGGTCTGAGGCCACTTTGTAGCTGCAGTGTTGACAAGGCTTTTGTTTAAAAAAAATTATTATTATTATTACATTAAAAAAAGGTTTGAATAAATTTGAATAAATTTGTCTATACTTGGGGTCAAAATATCTACTTCAAAAATTCTTTTTTAAAATCCTTTAGATTAGCCTACTTAAGGGCATGGGTGTGTGATGAAAACCAAAATAACCAAAATGCTTATTTCTAAGCCTAATGCTATAATAATTAGCATATAGATCTAGTTATGACTCAAAGAGTTAAGTCTAAAAATGAAAAAATGGCTGAAAATTTCATGCCGTTGTCATGGTGATGGCTGCCTTCTTGGATATTTTTTTTACAATTTCAACATTGAAATAGCTTTCTTTATTATTATTAAAATTTATGAAAATTTTCTCTAGTTATTCTGTATACATATACAAATATTATGAAAATATTATAGCATTCAGTTTAGAAATAAACATTTTGATTATTTGGTTTTCATTACCCGCCCATGCTCTTAATTACTAACAACTAAAAAAATTGTTTAAATAATCTTATCTAAAGAATGTTTAACAATGTTTAGAAGATCAACAAAGTGAAGCTTAATAAATTTAACATTTTTATTTTAGACTAGTTTGCTCCTTGTTTTACATCGAAATTTTATAAAAAGCTTTTAATTGCACTAACAGTAAGATTTTCTTTCTTTATATTTGTAGCTGTAATTGTAAAATGTGTTGTTCTTAATTTAGTGCATTTAAAAACTTGTTAAGCTACTAAAGAATAGTATGAGATTGTTAAATTACTTTTCCCCATTCCAGGCAGCAAAGAGCTCTTGATTCTTTGTGCAGATGGCATAATGTACGCCTTGTCCCCATGTTTAATGTGCACGGTGGAGGGCCTATGGTCATACTAAGAAAGAAAAAAAAGCAAGTTATATGAAAAGAAAAATGTCCTATTGTATTATTTGTAATGTTATAGTTATATGGATTTAAATCTATACACCTCCTCCTGGTTGAATATAAATCACATTTGCACAGAGGTGAATTTTAACAGAAATACTAATAAAATAAAATGACGGAGGGACATAGGATAAAACAATGATTTTAGACACTAAAAATTAAGAACAAAGAAGAAGAAGACAGGTGAGCTAATGGTATTGAGAGCGTGGAGTGATGGACATTCACCTTGACAGAAGGCATGACTCGTTGATCACAGGGTTAACCCTAGATTTCTAGGTAGCCTATATATATGGAGCCCAGGAAAAGTAAAACTAGGATGGCCATACAGAACAATCAAGATGGCCAGACAGAACAATCAAGATGGCCAGACAGTACGACTAGAAATGAAATATGGGGGATTAGTCAAGCTTCTGGTATTAAGTTCTAAATCCAGACTAGGCGGAACAAGGACCAACATTTGTGAGAACAAGACTGGGCTTAAGGAATTTGGTAGCCTGTTACGTTTTATGTTGTCAGCTGTGAAGTGCATTTTCCTGATACATGATAGTGTTCAAAATAAATACCATTGAACCTGCAAACAATGAAGAAATGTCTTTTTTCATCTGTTAAACTCAAATACAAAAGTTTGTAAAAAACAACTTTTTTGATGAAGATTTGATCAAACTATTCATTACATTGTAATTACTACAATTAATGATAAGTAATACAAAACATACAACAAAGTGATGCATAATATCTTATGCCAAAATTCGATACAGATGCTAAATCATAAAGTCCTGAGTTCAGCAACCCATTTGGGAGAGAAAACTCTAAAATCAAACAACTGCTAACGTGTAGTTTGTTCTTGCATTGACAAAGGCTATAAAGCAAATCCAAAAAGAAAAGCAGGCTGAAATCAGAGTCAACAGCCTATATGGCGCATAACATGTTGACACGTAATACTTAATTGTGATGGAGGCAATACTGCCCTACATTACAATTAAGAACAATGAAGAAGAAGATATTCTAATTTTTTGGTTGGAAAAACAAAATCACTTGATCCCCCTTGTACTAACCCAATTTTTATCACTGAAAAAATTCTGAAAGAGAGCATAACTAATGTAGTTTTTAATAATTTAAGTCATCAATAATGAAATTTTTAATAGCAGGTGACACCCTAACAACATCATAACAAGTATATTAAATTATCATCACATTTTATTACCTTTCCTTTCCAAGATCAATCATATGCTGAACAATCTTTGAAGGTACTGTTGCACCATGCACACGATCAAATGTTTCAAGTCCACTGGGTGGTGAATCACCCATCTTATCTCTAGTATCAGTTTTAAAGGCAACAAGAGGAATTGTGTCCCTTGACAACAATGGCTCACCTAGAAAATAAATTTAAAAAAAAATTAAATTCCATTAAAATTAAAAATCAGAATATAAGCCATTTAATTAGTAAAAATTAACATAAGTACATGTTTGATTAGATGATACAAAACATTTTTAATTTTAAAAAATCAGAGACATGCTGTAAACATATGATGATCACTAAAAAAAATCTTTTAAATGGTGCAATGGTAAAGTAAAATATCTTATTTACAAGTTAGATTGTGTTAGATTGTCAGCCATATTGTCAGGAGCCAGCATCTTACACAGGAGACAGAAATTATTCTAACCACTACACAATTTGAAAATGGGTAGAAACAACAGTTTACATCAATTAGAATCTGAAATTATTTTACTAGACTATTTGTAAAAACAATTAGCCAAATTTGAAATTCTATTTACTGTCTTATTTAGTCTCACGCCCCCCCCCCCCCCCTTCCCGATCGGCATTATGGGGCTCAGCAATACGGTAATTCAAGTGTAAAAAGTAACTCTGTACATTTGACCATACATTTATTACATTATAATCAAGCTAAAATTAATTTGACATCACTCACCTTCTAGTCCTTTGCGTAGATTTTTACCAAGAGTAGCTACATAACCAATATTTGATGTTATTGTACTAAACACAGACTCTTCATCCACATCTTCTGGCTCAACATCTTGCATTAGCTTATTCATCTCTTTCACTAATATTGCTGTAAAAATAAAAAGTAAATGGTAAATTTATTTGTAGATTTCTGAGTAAAGTAATAATCGATCTCTATCTGTAGTTTCAGAATCATAAGAAACTAGGTTAATTATAACCATTAGGCCTATTGATTATTAATGTACTTAAACTAAAAAATTGTTTATGACATTCTATTGGTACAAGCTAAAAGCAAAAACAAATTATTTATCATCAATTAGACTGTTAAGCATAGTCCTACCAATGTTTTTGTTTCTAACTTCCGATGAGCTTTTGCCTTCATCTAGGTCACTGGGAGAGATTTTGACATTTTCTTCTCTGGATAAACTCATATAGAAGCAATAATCAGAAGCTTTCATCACATATTCAGGGCCTGGATTCAACTGAAGCTTTGCTTCTGCAGCAGTTGAATCAAATACAGCAATCAAGTTCACACCATACCTATATTTAAAAAAAAAAAAAGAGTGTAATAGACAGTTCTGGATAACTAGACCAATACTGAATTTAAGACATTTTATTGAGTTTATTTTGCTTTGTTATAAAATATAATATACAAATTATATTAATGAAATCATTAACACACAATTTGAAAAAAAAATTAGAAGGAATAAATGTAGTCAGCTACATGCAGAGACTAGAAAAAAAATATTTCTTGAACAAAATTGTAAAATATAACTAATTCTTTTAAAAAGATATACTGTAGATTCTTAGGCACCATGCAGACATTTCTATAGATTTTTAAAAAAAAACTTGTTTGAACTGCATTTAGAATGCTTTAAGTTGCAAATAAATGATGTTATAGGAAATGCTTTTAGAATCTTAAACTCAACAAAATAAAAATATCTATTAAATACATAATTATATTATATATATGTAGTCTTACTTTTTATGAGCATCAACAGAAGCATAAGAAAATTTCTTTCCATCATAATCTCGGAAAAAAAGACTGCGTTGTAATTGTATGTGGTAGATTTCATTACCAGAATGTCGGCCATAGACCTGCTGCCAATTTTCTGGTGCCCACTGACCCTCCCTGCAAAAATTATTTAAAATTATAACCTCATTGAAACAGAGTCATTACAAAAAAAAAATTGTTTTACCAAAAAAAGACTTACTGGCCTCTTGAAGTATGCAACAGCAGAGTTACAAGAGTAGACAAACCAGGATATAAGCAATTGTTGGCAAGTAGGGCAAATTTGAATTCATCTTCACTGACAACATGTTCTGTTTTTTAAAAAGTTGTAATCAATTTTGTTATAAGTTTTAAATGGAGATGGATGATCTGTGTTTAAAAACTAAAAACAAATAATCCACAAGTTTTTTTGGTAAGCCTTTTTTTTTAACCTAAGAAACTAAAAGCATTTGAAGCCAAAACATGAAGCAATTACACTTAGCCTTCAATATATAGTTTAGTTTTCTCTCCTAGATAGGTTGCTGTCCTTAGCTATGAAGCATCATCTAGTTGAGAGTCAGACTTGATTTTTCGGTTTACCCATCTGACCACGCTAGCCCACTTTTTGACAATATTCTTTAATTTTGACTGAAATCCATTGATCTTCATCATTGTGTTCTTAACCCAGTCAAAATAATAAAGAATAAATCTTTACCTTTATTGTACTTTTTGTGTTAGAGATTTTAAGGATGGCTAAAAAATTTATTTTAGTAAACAAACCTGCAAACTTAACATGTATTTTGTTGGAAGCTTTATACAGCTGAATATATTGTGCACAGTTAGGAGCAAAATCTTTGACAGCCCATGATCTTAGAACTGTGTGCTGGTCCTAAGACAAAAAACATTGAAGATATCTAGGGTAAGTTGATCATGTTCAAACTAAAAAAAGTTTCATTACTCTATCATGTCTATATTTTATAAAAATCATTGGCTGTTGTATTAAAAACATAACATACACATTTCTCCATATCATCACAATTTTTGTTGACAAGAAAAAAACACGCCTCAGCTTCATGGATTCTGTAGTAATAGAATTTGGTGTTCAATATATAATTCAATTACAATTTATTGGGAGTATTCAGAAGTATAAAAAAAATCAATGTTGAGCAATACAGGGAAATCTTGTAATATATTTTACATTATTTCTAAATTTCAGCAATATATTATCTAGGCAATTAATTGAAAATAAATGTAAGCTAGACAATATGTAAGCATTATCTGTTAATAACAAGATTACTTATTTTAGCCAATCATTTTTCCCAATGATAATTCCAGTTTTGTAAACAACTAAAATGATAATTTATTAAGACCTGCATCTTTTAAGGTCAATATCTTTCAAAGCAGATCCTCTGATATAAAGAACCCTGTTAGCCCATTTTGGGTCTTTTAAGATGAATTGCATGTTGTCATCTAGTTCTTCTGAACTCATCATAACAACTGTGTAATTCTGAAAAAAAAATTAGCTTTTTTATATCATATTATATTATTAACATGCTCAAATGATACAAAATATAATAGATTTTTTTGTTGACTGCTCATCGTCTACAACTTACACAAACATAAGACTTTTTCACACATTAATTCAACTTTGCTTTCAGCTCATTTTCATGTTCTGTTAACCAAGTCTGTCTGCACTTACTTCAAGTTTTGGGTGCTCAAAAAACTCACTGAGGAAACTCATAACTGACTCAATCGTGAACTCAGAACCAATAACAACCACATGTTTCCCTTTCGATGCAGCTCGTTTACTGTAATCTCCACCCATTTTTTTTCTCTGTGCCCATGTTGAACCAATCTCTTCAAGCTGCGTTAATATTTGTTAAATAAGATGACATTAAGATGACTTCTAAGAAATATATAAAATACATCAGAGCAATCAATATTTATTAATTAACGTTGCTCTATTTTTCTCATGTGTATGTATATGTTTATATTTATTTATACTAGTTTATGAATCAAGTAAACAAGCAAGTCAAAATATGCAAACGCAAACACACACTTTTGTACATAACTGTAAGTTTGTAATTAACTGGCTTATTTCTTTTTACAAACAAGATTGTAAGCTTGCAATCATGCATGCACAATTCTGGCAAAGCCAACATATTTTTACAGTATAAGTTATGATGCTGCTATAGATCAGAAGTTCCCTTTCATTGTATAAATTTGATTTTTAACCTGTTTCTTTAAGTAGTAATTTCAAAATATTATTGTAGAGCATGCAGTAGCTAGACCTTGTCATATAAATCATGATAATCTCCAACAAGCTAATAGATAGTACTTCACAAATAGTAAATATTCCTAATTCTAACTAAAGTTTGTAGTCATGCATTCTATCACACAAGCACATAAAATACAATAAAAAGCATACCTGTCTAGGAATAAATGAAAAAGCCACACAAATCATAATACACATAAATAGTTGACCAAGCCAAATATCAGGTGAAATATCACCATACCCAACTGTAGTCAGAGTCACTATGACAAAATACACACTCTGAAACATGCTTAAATTAGTTTCAAGACTACCTCGCTGTATGTGTTGTATGCCACAAATTCTGAGGAAAGGTAATAAAATATCTTGTTACTCAGCTTGACCAAATGATTAGGGTGTGTAACATTAAAATATTACTTACTCTTTAAAGCATAAAACTAGAGTATATAACACAGCTGACAAAGATGAACTTACGTTGTAAAAACCAAGCAGCATAATGTGGCAATCAAAAACCAAGATTGTTGGGATAAGGTAACAGACATTGTTTGAAATCTTTGCTTAGCCAAATGAAAATCATTCTATAATAATGAGAAATAGTATTTATTGTGTTAAAAAGACATTGAAGTAAATTACTCTTCATCTATAACTATACTAAATGTTTAACTGCAGGTTATCATTAAAGACATGCATTACCCAATTTTATGTAAATAAAATGTTAACTATTGTTTACAAAACCCTATTACTCAACTTACCAATAAATGTTTTAAAAAAATTAAAGCCAACCAACAGTTTAGGAAATGTGGTATAAAAATATGCTGGAGAGTTGGTGGCCAGATAACCTGTGAAAATTTTTTAAAGGTTTGAATTATAAATTATTTTAATGTAAACAACATTTGTCACAAACCAACTTTTAATGAAAAGGAAAAATTTTCAGGAAAGACAAAAAAAACTGGTTCTTTTATGATTCATAATTATTGTTACTAAAAATTATTTTAAAAGAAATATGTGTTGAGACTATTGATCTGGACCTATTGTACTACAGTATGTTAATACTTAGTTTTATAATCTTAGCAGAAATACAGCAACTTTGAAAAGATAGCTGTTTTGCTAGACTTGAAATTCCAAACTGTTTATCAGTTTGCCAGGATTTTTCTCTCATTCTGGTGTGATTTTGCAAAAGGATAGTTTTTTATTTTTTTGTATTTTAACATTGAAAGATTAATTTTATCCCTAATTTTGGATCAGACTGTTCTTTTTGGCTTACATATTTTTTTCTTTTACTTGATTTCTTTGTCTTTATTTTTAAATAAACAAGTTTTTAAAATTGTTTTTTCCCCAAGGATTATCAATTATTTGCATTAGTTGGAGACTATTGCGTCAGGGACTTGCTTATGTTAACTGTATAACATGTATATCAAGTTATTCATTTTTTAGACCAAAATCATTTTTAAGATGAAATCAAAATTGTCTTTTTTTTTTAAATGAGACGTATCCCTTGCTATAGACATCAGCTAGGTAAGTCACACTGGTTAATTGCTTGTGCATTAGAATTTTTGGATAGTATTTTGTAAGACAGAATGGTCCCTTAATAGGCAAGGGTAATTATTTATGTCAAGCTGGCCCCTTGGTAAGCACAAATGTTATATAAGTATCAGACTAGTAACAATAGTTTCTGGCCACTTGACTTGTAACTGAAGTCAGACTGGTCCATCATCCTATTAATAACTTAAGTCAGGCTAGTATTTTGAAAAGCTCAACAGTTACATTAATGTCAGGTTGGTACCTTGATCGGTCAGACTGGTAACTTGTTAAAATATGCTAGAATTATTTCTTGATGTCATGGTGGTGTTTGGATAGCTAGTTTGACTACTTAAGCGAGACTGGTCCTTTGATGAGTATAACTGGTACATTCAATTTGTCAGGCATGAATTTTACATTAAACAAATACCTTGATGTCAGAATAGTACTATAATAATGTATGCCGGACTCATGGTATGAGAATAATGCCTTTGAGTCAGAATGATACTTGAATAAGATAATATCTTGCTTAGTGTGACTAGTACATTGTATGTCAGGCTGGTCTCTTGATTGTAGACTAGCACAATGATAAGTTAGACAGTGACAATAATTGGTTTGATTTTAAACTTGATGTCATACTTCACACTATCTCAGACTGGTCAAGCTGAGCATTTGTCTTTGAGAGATTTTTACCATGATCTGACATAGCTAAATAAGTCAGGTCGATGCCTTGATAAGTCAGCCTAGTAGCCTGATAAGTCAGGTTGATACCTTGATAAGTCAGCCTAGTACCCTGATAAGTCAGGTTGATACCTTGATAAGTCAGCCTACTACCCTGATAAGTCAGCCTAGTATCCTGATAAGTCAGGCTGATACCTTGATAAATCATTGCATTGTCTTATCATAAGTAATGGAGTAGGGTCTATTTATGTAACTACTTAAATTTTTGTATTGTTGGCAAATTTTTACTCTTTTGTATATGTCAACAAAGGATCGTGGAGAAAATATCGATTACACGCACATTGCTAAAACATATAAAACTGATCAATGTCAAATAATATTTTCGTTTAGATTCCTAGTAAAAATGGATACATTTTAATAACATAAGTATCAATTAGTCGGCACAGAGTTTTATATTTATTTATTTTTTTCTATGATATCTCAAAATCACTATGTTTTGTTTTATTTTTCAGTATTATTTAAAAGGATGGTTAAATTAGAGAATGTGCCCATTGTGGGAAGGGCTCTCTCTGGGTGCGGACGCCCAAGAAAAAGTGTTGTTCGGCAGTGATTCTAATTACGTCACGGGTTGGGGGATGATTGCAAATTATGCAGACGCTCCTGAAAGCATTTTTATATATGACCATTGTTTGATGAAGCCACTTGATAATGCGTTTGTGTTTAAGTTTGTGTTTGCGTGTTGCGTTTGCATTTTCTTTCCAGTTTTTTTTGTTTGTGTTTGCTATTGTATTTCTCAAGTTGGTACATTTTTAAAAAAACTTGGCGAAGCACTGGTAGGCAGCTAGTATATGTATATATATACATATATATATATACATATATACATATATATATATATACATATATATATACATATATATATATATATACATATATATATATATACATATATATATATATATATATATATATATATATATATATATATATATATATATATATATATATATATATATATATGTATATATATGTATATATATATGTATATATATATATATATATATATATATATGTATATATATATATATATATATATGTATATATATATATATATATATATATATATATATATATATATATATATATATGTATATATATATATATGTATATATATATATATGTATATATATATATATGTATATATATATATGTATATATATATATGTATATATATATATGTATATATATATATGTATATATATATGTATATATATATATGTATATATATATATATATGTATATATATATATATATATATTAGGGTTGTCGGCATCCGCCGAGTTCGCGGTAAAAACATGACCCGAAATCGCCCATTACTTTCTGATACCGGACCCACGAGATTTGGTTTTGCATACTAATAAGTTTTTAATTTATGGTAATTAATTAAGTTTAAAAGGTCATTTCCTAAGGTTAATTAAAAAGAAGAGTGGTTATCCCTTAGTTTTAATGGCTTTGCGACCTGATTGTATGCTGTCTCTGCTTTGGTCTTCCCTCTGTATCAAGGTTAGTTTCAAATACGTTGGAATCTCGATTTTTTAAAAGATTCCTCTAGATGAGAGTAGATTACTGATCAGACATATCTTAAGTAATTGGAAATGAAATTTGTTTTTGGATATTTTGACTCCGACATTAGTTATACCCCTCCGAACGTAGTCACTGTATGTAGGTCACGCTGCCACCATTGTTATATTTTTTCATCCCGATCTTCCTGCCTTTAAGTTTGATCAACTAATAACAGCATTCTTATGGCATGTGCAAACAAATCTAATTTTTTATTTCAAAATATATTTACATACCCATCTTTAATTTTTTCAGCTCTAGTTCTAGTTTTGCAGAATATGTTTTTCCTAAAAATCCAATTTTGTCAGACTAGACTCTAGACTGACAAGAGTCAGACCTAGATCTAGGTTACCTGTCTGTTGCTATACACTAGCATTGTGCTAACTGTAATTTTAAGTATTCAAGTTCTACTTACCCTTAGATATAGTTATATGCTGAAAATCAGAATCCATACACAATTCACACATAAAAACATTGATCTGATAACTTCATTTCACTTATTACAAAATGGCTTTTATATGGACTCTACTTCACCTGCCCAAAATAACAAGGCAGCTATAGACACATTACAGTGTTCAAGTCATTTACTTTAGATTTCTGACTATGGAGTTCTTTCATTCACTGTATTTATATAAAATATTGCTTTAGAAACATTTTCATATTTGCGCAGCAGTTTTATAACAAAATGGCTTAAAGATGGACTCTACTTCACCTGCCCAAAATAATGAGGCAATTATATGCACATAACAGTGTTCAAGTCATTTACTTTAGATTTCTAACTTTGTAGTTCTTTCATTTGCTGTATTTATATAAAATATGGCTTTAGAAACATTTTCATATTTGCGCAGCACACAGTTTTTTGGGGTTATGGGAGGAAGCCAACACAAAAATATAAGTTCTGTATTATTTTTATTAATTTCAACAGCATTTACAAGTTCTATATATCATTCTAGTTAAACTCTGCAAATATGAACAAAATACAACTGCAAGTAAAATAACTATGCTCAATTTATTCAGGTATACCATGACTTGTCACAATTGGCCAATGCTAAAGCAAGGGGATTCCACCCCTCACAAAAAAATTCGCAAAAAAAAAACTATTTGAGCTAGACAAAAAATCTTTTTTGTTTTGTTTTCATTTTGTTGAGCTCTACAAGAATATGTAATTTTTATTTTTATATGATGATTAGTGTTTTTTTACCTAAATCCCTAATATATATATATATATTTATACATACATGTATATATATATAAATGTATATGTATATATATATATGTATATATACATATATATATATATATATGTGTATATATATATATATACATATATATATACATTTATATATATGTATATAGGCCCTATATATGTATATATATCACTATATATATATATTTATTTATTATATAATATATATAATATATTATATATACATATATAGGGGCTATATATAGGAAGTGTACACTTCCTAGATGGTGTGTGTACAAAGTTTTTAAAATATTTTAAGGATGGCACCTCAACAACAGTGTGCAGTTTGGTACCCTTAATTTCCCAGCTGCTATCTTAGCACCTGCATATGAGGTCATCATAAATAAAAACAATGTAACAATAATTATGGTGAAAATGCCAAGACAATTTCATAGAGCCCATTATTTTATATCTTGGTAACCTTACTTTTAAAAAGCATTTCATTATGAACTTACCGACACAATAAAAGGCAAGCTACATAATATTTCCAACAGAAATTCTTTAGAAAATACAAGCACCAGTATATTGCCCTGAAAATAAAAAAGTGCTTGTTTCTATGGATTCAAAAAGAGCAGCAATTTGGAACTTATGTTTTGTACAATTCTGAAAATGTTTAATTTTGTTAAATATAACTTTTATACTCTTTTTTAATGTAAATTTTCAAAGAAAGGAAATTAATTTTCACGATGTTTCAAAAATTGGCTGCTCAATGCAAAACTGAAAAAGTACTAGATCTACATCTACCATAAAGTATCAATAAGCTGTAAGGAAAAATGTTTATTCAAAATAAGTATAGCATTATAATTATAAGGAAGAAAAATAACTAATATAAGAGTTGACAAAAGTATAGCAGTTAATTAAAATTAAAAATTACAAGAGTGTAAACACATTATGTTTAGTACTTCTATTGAATGGTTGAGATTACTATACAATTAAGAACACTATTTGTTCAAAATTATGAAGACAACATGCATGGGGCAGCAACATGAATGTTCAAAATTCCAAAAAATTTAGGTTTTTCATGATTTAACCAGTTAAAATATGGTAACATCTTTTTCATGTTCAATGCTGTTATGTATTTCAAACAGTTTAAAAAGCATTTTATTTTAATTTACAATTTTAAGAGAGTTAAATGATTTATTTATAATGACTATCAACTACAAATTTGAATCAGCAAGAATGCCAGTAAAAATAGCACATACTGAGCATATTTCTGTTTAAGAATTCTTTGACAAAGCCTTGGCACAGACAACCTTATAATTGATGGTTATACCCACATAAACATGCCATTTCACTTCTAGCTCCAAAACATAAGCACACTTAAGCACAATAGTAATGTAGGAAAATAAAGAAAGGAACTGTGCTGCAATTAAGGATAGACTAGGAATCAGAAATATTTCACAATCAATGTAAATATATTTATATGGAATGATGATGCTCTTACCTTTCTTCCTTATGGTGGCAAAAGAAAGTCATAAGAAGATTAGTAATGTGCGCTATTGTTTTTAGCTCAAGTCAAACATCAACTTTTCTAATGTGTAAATAAGGTCATGACAGAGCGATACAACTGGGTTTTCTTTCTGGTTTCTTTTTCTTTTTTTTTTTAAGTTTTGGATAAGGTACCTTTTGATATCACCAAGTAGACTATTATTCAAACAGTCCAAACATCTAAACTATCAACATTTTGAAAATGCTTATTAATGTGATTTAATTGTCAGCATAGTTTTAGATAGAAAAATAAATACCTTAGCTGTTATCCCCAGGATGACAAGTATTTTAAGCAAGGTAATAGCTGAAAGGAAAATCTGAACTGCCCATAGCCACAATGGACGATGTACCCACTGCAGCACATACCTGTAGAATGTTGTGCGTCAAGTTTAATCTCCTCCTCAAACATAGTTTGTTGACAAATATTCATGCAGAAATCAAACAATTCTTTATGAAAAAATACACAATTTTTCACTGAATTTTTCATTTTATTTCATTTTATAAGAAATTACCCTAGAGAAAAAGTATTAGAGAGTTTACTTACCAATTTATGTCTGTGGACACTGTGCCATTTATGTCCTCAGTATTATTACATGGAACACCAGAACTAAAATCAAAATAAAAAAGTAAAAATTCTTTCTATATTAAATTCATGTGAATAACCTTTATATTTTTCCACAATTTTATAGCTAAAATTATTTTTTTTTACATTTATTATATATCAAACTTTTACTACACGTTAACAAGCTATTACTAATGCTTTAGGCCCAAAAAAAAAAAAAAAAACACAAAATAAGCAGTTTTTTTAAAAATTAGTGCTTATGTTAGAAGACTGCTAAAAGTTTATAAGAATAAGCAACAACATTATTTATCTATTTAAACGGCCACTTTCTTGTAACTTGTGACTAAAAATTCTCTTTAAAAGTGATTCATGTGTCCATGTTGCAGCTGTTTTAACCTGTTTTCTCACTGTTTATTTACCTCCCCAAGTGTCCATCCCTTAATGATGTTATGCTTTTTTGGATGATTTTTTACCTTACCCTTCCCCTATTGTCACTCATGATGTCAATCCTTAGTCTATAACCCCATTAAATTGCAGTTTTTGTTTTTAAAAACAGATTTTAAAAAATATTTTTACTGAGCTTTCTAAACATTAAGTACCCTATGTTAATTTCAATAACAATTTACAAAAACAGTCTTTTAAATTGAAAGTAACTGCTGAAATTTAGTTTCTAACATTACTATATAAAATGCAACAAATAACATATCACAAAATTTTAAATGCCCTTCCATCGAAGTAAAATGCACCATAGGCTTGTACTGAGGACATTTAGGTCAATGATTGATTCCTCCTGAACTAGTCTCATGAACTATGAATTATCAAGATGTATGTTGCCTACATTAACTGCATTGATGAGCATGGGTCCCAGAAATATGTGCCAACAGAAAAAAGTAAACTCTAATTTCATCTTATTTTGTAGAAGTGATGTACATCTGGTATTCTTTGTTTGTCTATAAATGATTGATTTAAGAGCACTTTTTTTGTGGGCAGTTTTCCATGGCACATCTTTCTGGTCACCAATGAGAATATAGTTCTACTAGATCATGAAAGAAAAACAAACTTCTAGCTGTCAAATACCATTTTATCTTAACTTGATGTTAAAACTTTCTAGCTCGTAAGTAGTCTGTATGTAACAGCACAACTCTGTCCAGAAACTATTTTCTAGATATATTTCACACCAACCCTTTGATTTAAACACGAATATACTGACTTACCATGCATACTGGGAAGGATCATCCATACAAACTCTAACAACATACAGAAGACACATGATCAACTTGATGCTGATATAAACAATTGAAATGTTGATTCCTGTAAGATTTGGTTTGAAAAGTTATATGGTTTTTAAATGTTTATGGAAGGGCAATGCAGTAGTATATTTTTTGCTTGTATCACTGTTAGGTTTCGACCAAGGTTAGGGTAACTATATTATTTTGATTTAAAAAGCCACTAGAGAATGCCATCTGCAACTAGTACATTCTACCATTTGACTAAAATGTACCTTGTCATCTGCAACTAGTACATTCTACCATTTGACTAAAATGTACCTTGTCATCTGCAACTAGTACATTCTACCATTTGACTAAAATGTACCTTGTCATCTGCAACTAGTACATTCTACCATTTGACTAAAATGTACCTTGTCATCTGCAACTAGTACATTCTACCATTTGACTAAAATGTACCTTGTCATCTGCAACTAGTACATTCTACCATTTGACTAAAATGTACCTTGTCATCTGCAACTAGTACATTCTACCATTTGACTAAAATGTACCTTGTCATCTGCAACTAGTACATTCTACAATTGGACTAAAATGTACCTTGTCATCTGCAACTAGTACATTCTACCATTTGACTAAAATGTACCTTGTCATCTGCAACTAGTACATTCTACCATTTTACTCAAATGTAACTTGTCAACTGCAACTAGTACATTCTACCATTTGACTAATATGTACCTTTTATCAACTTTAAAAATGTAATGGGAGAGTTCAGCAACTGACAATGTAAACCGTGGTCCAGATGTTCAGTCTTCACTTTTTATAGCATAACATTACAAGAATTGTATTTTGACAAACTATTTGACATATAAGATAAGCTTGTGCCATCCTCTGTAGACCTACCACCAATGAGTGATGGGTAAATTTGGCTAGGGCCCTTGCTTGAAACAGACAAAAGATAAATAAGCCATTCTGGTCTTATCACCATAAATAAATAAGGCTTTGAAACATGTAATTTCAATAAATGGAAAGTGACAAGCTATGATAAGATTGTCTCTTCTGCTTTGTATTATATAAAATGGCATATTCTCTTTAGTTGACTTATACCAGGCCAACTGTTTTGAATATTTTAAGGTTTTTAGTTGCATTTGTAAAAAACACAGTATAAAAATGTTGAGTTTTTTTTAATGTATTATTTTATAAAAGTTTGTACACTGGGCTACTGTTGTATCTGATATTTATCAGATTAAAAGGCAGTAAAAAAACTTTTTTTAAATTTTTAAAAAAGGTTTTTGGTAAATAAAACAGTGAATTTTGCTTCAAGCTTGTTAAAATGTTTATAGAAATTACACTACCAATTATGAAGAGTTAAGTATTTTCTTTTTAAAACTGAAAATAAAAACATACATCTTAAACTTTCAACTATTTTCAACTAAACTATAGGCCTAATTTACTCATAAAAATATACTACAGATAATGATTTTATATGTATGTAATACTATGTAAGCCTACAAAATCATTTGATTACCTGGTTTTACAGCAAATTAAAGTTGTTTTTATCAGTATGGCAATGATTGTTATTCAAAATTTTGCAACAAAATAAAAACAAATAGGCCTATAGATCTATATCTAGATTTTACAAAATGTTTAGACCTAATCTTGAATTCTAGATTCTAGCATCTAAATCTAGATCAACATGTTTAGAATTTTACAAGCTTTCATTAAACTTGCTTCCTCTGTGTGTATGTCTATAGTTCGCCATGGATTGAAACTGCAGAGCAAAATTTCTATCACTTCTGACAGATTTGTTTCAAACTTGGCACAAAGGTAAAGACCCTATGACAATGCAATCTGACATCTAATGGACCCAAGCGAGTAAAGTCTCAAAGGTATTCGAGAGGCCCATTAAATATTTTAAAAATCATGCACTGTGTAATCAAAATTAATTAATGGTTCTAGAATGCTGTTTTTTTTTTCTGACTAAAAAAGTGGATGTATTTGATGTTTTATTATTTTCGTGGTAGTCAGAGGTTGGAGATAGTCATAAAATAAAAGAGGGTAGGTTAGTGGGGCTGTATACCAAACTATTTGATGTCATGTGTCTAGCTATTAATGGCTATGGGTTGGGGTAAAATTCGACTAAACAACTTGACTTGGACTGAATCTTGCGGACACTTCTCGCTACACGTGTTTCCAGACTACCTCTCCATCTTTTTTCGTGAGCCCTACACACCTGACCATGCAAGCACATTCTAGATGCGCCCTTATTTAAATGTATAATTTTAACGTGGTTATTTTGAGTTTATTCCTTGAAAAAAAATATAACTAGATCTACATCGTCTTAGGCTTTGACACAAACCAATGATGAAGGCCTAACACGATTTGTTTAAACGATCTATCGGGCCCAGGTCTAATTGTTTTTACACTTATGTTTCAATTCTTGTAAATGTTTTAAGATAAACTCGAAATACCGTGAATTGGTTTAGAAAGTGGCCGCAAGTGGCCGCGGTCAATCCTCCCCCCCCCCACCCACTTGTTAAAAATGACTCTTTTTTACTTTCTCGTATATACGTAGTATAGAGAAAGTATTGTAATCGTGCAAAAAAAAAAAATCGAGATTTTTACAAATCTCGACGTTTTACACCTCACTGATACGGAAAAACATAATTTTGCAATCTTGTCCGTATGTCTGTGTGTGTGTGTGTCTGTGTGTGTGTCTGTGTGTAAACACGATAACTTGAGTACCGTTACAGCTAGGTTGATGAAATTTCATATATAAGTATTTTATCAAAATCGTAGATCCGTATCAACTTTTGAGCGATTTCCGATAACCGGAAGTGGTACTTTTCCTACTTTGAATTTTTTAAAAGCCTATAACTTGAGTACTATTTCAGATAGATAAATGAAATTTCACATGTAAGTAAAAGATCTAATTCTCTACCTTCTGTTAAATTTTGAGTAATTTCCGTTGACTGGAAGTAGTAATTTACGCTACTTCCGATTTCTCAAAAAACTAATGTAAATTTTAAAAGTACTAATAATATTGCGCACTATTATGCGCTTTTTTTATTTGCGTTCACTTGGTGTGCAATTAATTTGTCTACGAGATTTTATTCTATTTTTAAAACTTTAAGTATTTAAAATGGATTAAAAATCATGTCTATAGCCCGAGTTTCCATCCCCTGTTATTTTATATAAGAATATTCGAGAAAGTTTAGGGGAGATCACTCCCGGTTTATTTTCTTAGGCGGGCGGCATGCATTTACATCTGATACACCTAATTACCCGTTGAGCTGGGGTTGTTACTTTCTCGTATATACGAAGTATAGAGAAAGTCTTGTAATCGTGCAAAAAAAAAAAATCGAGATTTTTACAAATCTCGACGTTTTACATCTCACTGATACGGAAAAACATAATTTTGCAATCTTGTCCGTATGTCTCTCTGTGTGTGTGTGTAAACACGATAACTTGAGTACCGTTACAGCTAGGTTGATGAAATTTCATATATAAGTATTTTATCAAAATCGTAGATCCGTATCAACTTTTGAGCGATTTCCGATAACCGGAAGTGGTACTTTTCCTACTTTGAATTTTTCAAAAGCCTATAACTTGAGTACTATTTCAGATAGACAAATGAAATTTCACATGTTAGTAAAAAATCTAATTTTCTTTGTTCTGTCAAATTTTGAGTAATTTCCGTTGACGGGAAGTACTAACTTACGCTATTTCCGATTTCTCAAAAACGCATCTAAATTTATAAAGTACTAATAATATTGCGCACCATTATGAACATCTTTATTCGGCGTTCGCTTGGTGTGCAATACTTTTTTCTATGAGATTCTATTTTATTTTTAAAAGTTTAAGTATTTAAAATGGATTAAAAATCATAACTATATTCCGAGTTCCCATCCCCTGTTGTTTTATATAAGAATATTCAAGAAAGTTTAGGGGAGATCACTCCCGGTTTATTTTTTTAAATGTTCTATTCAACATGTGGACGTCCACAATAACTCGAAACCCCCCCCCCCCCCCCGCGTGGATATCATAAATGGATGATCCCATAGTCCCCATGTCACGGGCCTGACATTCAGGATTTTAGGCCTAAACTCAAGCGCCAATAAGTTATGAGCTAAATAAACATATAGGACTTTAGCATTATACAGCCGGCAACACACCAAAAATGTTGTCAGAACATGTCACAACTAAACCAAACTAGAACCCAACTAGACCCGAGTGGACAACCTAGACAATGGTAAACGGAGAATGAAGTATGGATGCTGTTGAGGCATAACCGTGATTACAGTAACAGTTGGTAACAAAATCCTGGAGAAATTACAGTTCACGTGTTACGTGTTGAAGTGGGTCTTAAAAAAACCTGAAGAAATTACGGTATGTCTGTTACCAGTGTTTCTTACTTCCAGACTTTTTTCTCGGGGGGGGGGGGGGGGGCGGACTAAAATTTCCAGGGTGGGGGAGGGTGGACACTGTTGAAGTATATTTTTTCTAAATAAATTCCATTTCGTTGGGGGCGGTAGTCTAAAAAAACGGAATAAATTCCGGTATACCTGTTACATGTTGCAGTTGGTCTAAAAAAAACGGAATAAATTCCGGTATACCTGTTACATGTTGCAGTTGGTCTAAAAAAACGGAATAAATTCCGGTATACCTGTTACATGTTGCAGTTGGTCTAAAAAAACGGAATAAATTCCGGTATACCTGTTACATGTTGCAGTTGGTCTAAAAAAACGGAATAAATTACGGTATACCTGTTACATGTTGCAGTTGGTCTAAAAAAACGGAATAAATTCCGGTATACCTGTTACATGTTGCAGTTGGTCTAAAAAAAAACGGAATAAATTACGGTATACCTGTTACATGTTGCAGTTGGTCTAAAAAAACGGAATAAATTACGGTATACCTGTTACATGTTGCAGTTGGTCTAAAAAAACGGAATAAATTCCGGTATACCTGTTACATGTTGCAGTTGGTCTAAAAAAACGGAATAAATTCCGGTATACCTGTTACATGTTGCAGTTGGTCTAAAAAAAAAACGGAATAAATTACGGTATACCTGTTACATGTTGCAGT